TGTGTGTGTGTGTGTGTGTGTGTGTGTGTGTGTGTGTGTGTGTGTGTGTGTACGTCTGTGTGTGCGCTGCACGTCTGTACCGATTTTTTGGTATTGATATGAACTTTTTTTTTGTTTCGATTCTTTGTTTTCCAGACAAGTCCTCCGCTGGATGAAGCAAGTACGTGGCGCTCACATGCAGCGATTGTACTGGCCAATCTAAACACACCAATGGCGCTTGGAACAGTGCATCAGCTGGGCTGTGTGCTTGCTCGCCGTGAGCAACATGCAGCTGCTGATTTCTGCTTTTTGGCTGTCAGTCTGTTAGCACCAGGCTATGATCCTTTTCAGCCAATACCTAAAAAGTAAATTTTTTTTCTTTTGCTTCTTTTTTTTTCATTTTTCTCAATAGAATAATTAGTTAATTGCCTGTGAAAAGCGGAACAAATGTAGTAGAAATATCTCGCTGTCGCCAGTGGACATGGTGGAATTGGAAATAGAACTGTTGTCGTATAGCAGATCGAGGATTTAGCTGCAGACATCGAATCTATCTACAGTCTTTTTATCCATTTCGGCGATAAATTGATGCAATTGTGTGGCAGGGGATTAAATCTGTTTTCAGCTTGCTTCTAAGCAACCCTTGGGAACACAATTTATCGACAGCCTTACCCCAATAGATGTTTGTCTTTGACAGTTTCTGTTAAAAAAGCCTCTTCCGGAGTGCTTCCTGATATCGGATACAAGGGGATTTTTGTCTTGCCTTGCCACCATTTAGGCTAATTTCGAGCCTCTCTCTCATGGAGAATGAAAATGAAAGAGGAGTTTTTGACCTTAATTTTTAATACTTTCTTTGTCACTGGCCCGCGTAATACCCAAATTTCTCTTTGAAAAATTATGCATATTTTTTTCTTCCCTTCATTTTTTCTAGTTCATCATTTTCTCTTTATTCTTTGATGGAGTATATTTCAGAGAGGATGAAAGTTCGGAAGTACGAAAGCACATCACTCTCATACATGCCACTTTGCGAACTATACCAGAAATGGATTTGGAATGCTTGAAAGAGTGAGTTGAAATTTGATTTCTGTTGGAACAAATTGTAATCCTTTATGGATCTTAAAGAAAAAAAAAATTTCTTTTCAAAGACAGTTCTTCAAGAAGCTGTAAAGTTTGGGAAATTTGCGAGAGGGAGAGAGAGGAAGATCTGTCAGTGACTGCATCTGGAATATCGATCTAGAATTGTAATATTTCTGGGGTTCACCCATGCCCCAAATGCAGCTGCGGCAGGCCTTTGATAATCTTTGATTTAAGCTTGCAGGGTTTTTCCCCTCGCGCATTATTTGTTCAGAATTCTGCTGGTCTTTTTTCAAAGAATATGAGGTGGAGAAGTTTGAAAAAAGGGGCGAGGATAAGTCGGAAAAAGATCGTGGGTAGGCTGCTAAGATATTTGTGAAAAGATAAATAACTTCAAAAATCCTCATTTGGTTGTGCATAGCCAGTGCTCTATCATGAGCAAGATCAAGACTAGGACATAAAACATAAATAGATAGAAAGGAATGGGAAAAATTAGA